TTTCCTTCTCAGCAAATCTAACATCAAGATTTTTGTGAAGATTGTTAAAATACTAGTGAAAAACGAGACCTATTAAAATGACTTATGGTAAACGTCATGAAGAAATGGATGCGGCTGAAGGAAGAGGTAGAAAATAAGATGACTATGATACAAGAAATGGGAAGCCTCAGACAAAAAGGGTACATGTAAATGTAGATGAAGTGCGAATATTGGTGGGCTCAAATCAAATATTAAGTCTGCAAGTGAACATGAATAGGGAAACTGTACTGTAGATTTTAACAGAAGATTTGAGCATTTCCTCAAAGATGGTACATTGACTTTTGACAATGTAATTCCTGGTTCGAGCATGTAAAAATAAAGTTTACTTACTTGATCTCGACTGGCAGATGTCACCTTATTAACAGATATCATACTGTAGATTTTAACAGAAGATTTAAGCATTTCCTCAAAGATTGTACATTAAATTTTGACAATTTAATTCATGGAATGACCCCTGAAAGTAATTCTGGGAATTAAATTGTCATACCTAGCATGATTTACTTTATTTTTCTTTGTAAATTTTTCCCATTGTATACGTTATTCTTAAATTTCTCTGTTCTGACCATCAGAAGACGGTTGGTTTTTTCTTTGTCATTCACTTTCCCCGTAAAACTATCATCTTTACGGACTATACATTTGAAGAAGGCTGTAGAATAGATCTGTCAAAACATCGTTGTAAGGACAAGAGCACCCCCCACCAACCCCCCCAGTAAAATTGATGTTATAAATGCAATCATTTATCGTTCACCTTTCTCGTACTGTAATCCTGAAGAAGTTTGTCACAGAATAAATGTAATCTTGAAGAAGTTTGTCACAGGATAAATGTAACCCAAGAATGTGAACGCCATGTATTTTCTGTTTACAAACTATATAGAAACCATATATTTCTGAAAACTAGAGAAGTTAGCAAATCTACTGCTACAAACAACATGTCACTAGCTCTACTGGCAAAGATTTTATCGTCATTTATAGATTATGCTCCAAATGTGTTCTGTTCTTTTTGAAGGCACACTTGAATTCTACTGGCGAATTTGTCGATGACTTTGATGCATTCTTCTTTTGGTATGGCTCTGATTTCTCGAGTGATTGCTGCCTTTAGCTCTGAGATGGCGGTTGTTTCTGTAGACTCGATACTTCAGATACGCTCACAGAGGGTTGCAGGGTTGAGGTCGGTGGAATGCCGAAATCAGGTTCGCGTTTACGGCTGATGAGTCGGTTGAGAAACTTCTTTTCCACTCACTCCAGAAGGATATTTGCTGTATGAGGGGTGGCCCCATCTTGCTCATACCACTGGTGCTCCCTCTGAACCCTTGTTGCACCTCTGCCGCAGCTCATGGGGGGATTTGGTGAGGCCAAGGTCCTCGCACTTTCTACGGGCGGATTTCTTCGGACTCCTGTCTACTGAATCCCGGACCGCTGCTATGTATTCAGGAGACCGTAAAGTAGATTTTCAGCCAACTTTGACTGCTGGGGACTTTTTTTTTGTCATATTGCTAATTGTCGCTGTAGCCTCAAACTTCTTGATCCACCTGTAAATGGGGTTTTATTCTTGTCGTACATTAAATAGGGGTTTTATTCTTGTCATATATTCTTCGGAATTTCGCGATGGTATGTTTATAGGAATTTCCCTTCAATTTTCTCAGCACACAGAAAATTTTCTGTTCTGTAAAATGCATTGTAGTTGGTGTTCTGCTTTTGCTATCTTCTCAGCTCGCTAATTCTGAAATATAAAAACAAAATATTAAAAATCAACAAAATTACTTATGTTTATCTGGGTTACATTTATACTGGGACACTTTTTAGAATGGACGAGCCAATAGTAAGAAAAAAATATAAAATGAAAATAAAGCAAAGGAAAAATGAATGAATTACAGATTCTAAATCTAGAAAAAATAACCTGTCCCCTGTTTTTTAGTGGTTTATATTCATGGTCTTAAGTGGAAAATTTTTATTGACGACGCGTTTCGCCGGGGTTAAAAGACAGCATTGCGTGTGAGGAAAATACACAGTTTTATCTTTCTTTCATTTTAACCTGAGGAAACCAAAGAGATCATATGCTTCTCTGGAGAGACGCGTCGTTAATAAAAATTTTCCACTGTGTCTCATCTTCTTCCCTTTTGTTTTGGGTACTTTTATACATCCTACAAATACACTTGGTCTTAAACGGGTGCGGAATTAATTTCAACTTCACCCTCCGCGACGCGAATGAGTCCGAACTTTTATTGTCGATTACTCCAAAACGGTAGATTTTATCAAAATTTCTTTGTTATTTTCGAATTAAGCATGTAGATTTACACCAAAGTGGAACTATTCAGGAAATTTTTATTAGAAACTGAGCGCGGGGGTTGAACTGCAAATTACTCTCGAAAGTAGTTCTGTCATCCGTCTTATATACAGAAACCTCGACTTATCTATCATGAATTCGCGGAAGACTACAATTTGTCTGTGTCCTCACTTTACA